ACAATTTTACTCCTGGTACCAAATGCAACAAAGTTTATTCTCTGTATTTATTGCCGCTTTATTTAACTTCGGAATCCCATTGCTTTTGCGAACAATGCTCTATTGTTTGTTAAACACAAAAAGTTGAAGTAACATTAATTTACCCAACTCATGAATACTAAAATGAAAACCAACATGAAGACCTGAATGCGTTATTATTATTATACCTACATCCACAAAACACTCATGCCTGTATTTTATTTTTTACAGAATAATAACCAGACAAGGAGGCACCGTTTCGGTAAGTAATTCCCCTGTTACCTGGGTCGTATAGGCCCCGTTATTACACTTTATCTTACACTCTCCCGGCCACAAAGTTCACGCACAAAAGACCGCGGGTACAAAATATCCCTGGTTATTAATTTTGGAGGTGTAATTACGGGAAAGAATATATTATGAAGCACGCCTTTTAAAGTAAAGATTAAAATTTTATTGTAATATCGTAAATTTAAATTTCTATTAGGAGAACATCAAGTTTAGGAACGTGTTTTGTTGCTCGTTTTGGTTAAGTTAAGGTGATTGTTATTAGAAAAGGTTGTTTTGTTAGGTACGCTACCAGGGCAGCATAGAATTAAGCGTTCATGTACTATGATCACGATAACAGGTTGTATGCATAATAAAATTTTAGTCAAACTTGTACTTAAATGTTCACTTATACTTTATACACATTTTCTTTCAGAGTACAAATAAACACTACGACGTAGTAAAAAAAACTATTTTTCTTGAGATCAGAATAATGAACGCGACAAGACATATTTCTGTACATTCCATCAGTCAGACGCATTTACAGTAAACGTTTTATTTTCGCGCTCACTAGATGGCACTAATATAGTGTAAGATACTGTTGCTAACATTTTGTTAACAAAGAAATAGGTGATAACTTATCTACCGAAATAATTACTAATATAATTTAAAAAAATTAAGCCGCGACGCGACCATAATAATATGTTAAATCTATTATTAAACTGTTTATAAAAAATGATTTAAAACCATAGTAAACATTTCGTAAGAAAGCCATATAAATCATTTTTATCATTTATCTCTCCAGTTTGAAACTAATTGTGTACAAACACCTGGCTAAAAAGATAAGAAGCTTTACCCACATAGTTTCCCAACATGATACGTCTTCCTTGGTGTTGCCAGTGCGAATGATGACAAATGTTGCCAGCAACGCCTCGAAATTACCTACGTACGTGGTAAATGCACTTTCAAGATGGCGGCTCATGAAGATTTATGTATGTGTGGTACACAAGGAAGAATATTTTAAGGTTATGGATGACAGCGACGACCCTTTGCCATTTTAAATTACGGTCGCCACTTTTTTCATTTTTATGGCAAAAATTTTAATTTTTTAAGTTCTATTTTAATCGAGTTGGCAAGAAATGACAGTTGAGGTATTTACTTAAATGTAGCGGGCTGTAATGTCAGTATATTATTGTATTGTTGTATTGTATTATTATATGGATATGGAGACATTCTTTTAAGGGCGGAATATCATCGAACGATTTCTCCCGCCAATAGTGTCAGCCTCTTACTGTCTAAAACCGCCCCGTTTCTACTCCTGTACTTCGAGCCGGAGTCCCGGTAGCCCGTTAAGTTAAGGCCGGCAGTCGCACTTGCGACTACTCGGCTAATGAGGCAGTCAGTCAAGGAATTAATTACTATATAAAGAATTAAATAGTATTTTAATATTGTGTTCATTTTGCATATTAATTACTAATACATGTTTGAGAAATACCGTAAGAGGCATGATATTGAAAGAATTCATTCCACCAAATTATTCTCGCACTTCATATAAACCATAAAATGAATATTCTCAAAAGCCACACGACACAACTCGCACAATGATCAGCATTTTCAATTTGGCCAGAACTCATTCAACATTCTTTCAACGTAGAATCAGAGCTTTATGCCGCCCTGGTATGTGCATAAAATTTGGCTCTCGTAAAATGGCGGACACAATCCCAGACGGGCATTGTCCTGCGCCGAATTGTCATACCTGTCACTCTGTCCAGGTCAGCTATAGTATTTCGGACATATGCGCACAAAAACGATGAAAAAAAGCAGTAAAATAGCGTTTCCTCGTCTGCTTTCGACATTTAAATATTTGGATACAGATTGTTCAACGCATTTGTTTATTAACACGACGCGAAGGATTGTGTTGTATAAAATCTGATTGGTTTATACACATCCTGTAGTTATTGTGAAGATTTTAAAGTATTTTTTGTATAACTACATGTAAAAATTAGTTAACACTGTTTATAAATCGGAGACTAAAAATTAATTGAAAAATAAAATTATAAATGGGCAATTATTTCTTCAGCAAAAAGTATGTAATACCTATGGTATGAAATTTATTTTATAAAAAAAAGTACGCGTTCTAAGTTCTAAAACAAACAGGAAGGAGCTCGTTTTCGCGTTCAAGATTAATTTTCTTGAAAATGGCTTGTGATCTTCTCCAAGCACCCACTTGTCTCTGTACCAAAATTCATCAAAAGCGTAGATAGATAACAAACCAACTCCTATTTTCGGATTTATACTGATAATAGAGGTATTTTCGTATACATTTTTCGAAAACTTCATGATAGCATGAGTCTGGAATTGCTCGAAACATATTATGTGGAAATCGACCGACTCGCTATTACCTATCGCTTTAACTTATGACATAACTAGGTGAAAAGTTTACTTACCGCTTCTAGCATAAAAAGATTTTGTTTTGTATTAGAATAACTTTTATTTATTTATTTTACACTTTAATGCACACAAAATAAGGTGCATAAGGCGGACTTTTAAGTGTGGGAGAGTCATGCTCTGGCACGAATAGGCCGGCTCGACCGGAGTGATACCACGGCCTCACAAAATATCGACGTGAAACAAGCTTGCGTTGAGTTGTGTCGTCGGAGTGAGGTTACCGAAGGCCTAATTATCCTACCCCCCTCCCCAATCTCCCTAATCCCTGAATCCCCAACAATCCTCAAATTCCTAATTCCTAAAAGGCCCTAACGCACTTGTAACGCCACTGGTGTTTCGAGTGTCCATGGGCGACACCGATTGCTTACCATCAGGTGACCCGTCTGCTTGTTTACTCGCTCATCCCATAACTAAAACCTACCTGGTAGTAATAAGTAGTCAATGAGCCCAACAATTAAGTTCTCCTACGACCTTTAACTAAAATAATTCTTTGTCTTTGTTCCACAAAAATCGTTGCAAAATTTTAATTGCACTGCCTTGTACACTATTAAGTCCAAGAGACAGAGTCGAGGAATAGAATCGGACGAAGTTAGGAACTCGGTAAAGTCCTTAATTAACGGGGGCACTAGATGTGCCCACTATATGTGTCTACTGTCTAACGACTGAACAACTGGACAAATATATTGTATTTATAGAATTAGTTAGTGTCCAGTACCTTAAAATAGTTTCAACCAAGTTTATTGTAAAGTTCTAAAGATAGATAGATCACTGCTAAGTGGTTTAAGCTAGAATAATCTAGATCGTATCGTCCTTCTGTCCAAAGCTATTAGTAGGTATCACTAAATTAATATCCAGCGATTTAACCGTCATTAAATGTATACTTATTGTGATTTAGACTAGGCTTCTTATTCTCATTTTTCTTAGCGTTGTTGCAAGTTCATGATTGCCTAGTACCTTTCACTCAATCTTCTTACTCGAGTTTTTTTTATTTTTACTTATGTAGATAAGTAAAATATCCATCGACTAAAAAATACAGATTTTTTTACGGAGAACAGTGAATCAATTACCATTTGCATAAGATTAAAAACATAGAATGTCGTTATTAATATAGTCGTGTTCGTCCTAGTTTCGTATTGTAAAAATTTTTCGTCATGCTTTCGACGTCCGAAACATTTCGTTTGTCATTTTTATACCGACCTCTCACGCTCCCTTTAACCCTTTCAGTTCAGGGTGACTGTACACATTTTTGAAAGGCTCGCATTTCGTTCGTTAATTTAATTTTCAAGCATTTTTCATTACAGTAAATCCACTAAGTATTATAAGTTGCGAGCTCATGTCAACTTAAAAAATTCGTAAATATTACTTACTCATTACATATAAATTATACCAAGGTATTCTTTAAGAACCAGTTGTAAATCTTATTATAGCTTTTTTTGCAAATCAGCAGTCATAGATACCAGGAGACGAAACACCTAAAGAACCTTAAAAACCGTCTCATTATAATACCACAGAATAATTTTTTGGGACATTCAAACGATTTACCAAGTACCGAGACTTTAATATCCAACGAGCGGTCGAGTTAATCTATTCCTTCGTTTCTCTGCCCTCCTAGTACTTAACTACTGAATTTATTTAAATTTTAAGTTGTCTCCGTTAACTGAGTGTGACTTAATTAAACTTTTATGAATACAAATTGATCTCTGTGGTATTTTATTCCACCAAAATTTTCACGAATTTACCTCAGTTGGTAACAAGTAAAATTAAGTTGATAAACTCCTACCTATACTTCTTTGTGACAATGTTGACGTTATATTATGAGGCTGCAAAAATTCATATCATTCAAATAAATTAATCTAAACATTATAGAAAGTTAATTAGCACTGTATAGTTAACTGGTTCACAAGTGACGACTACATAATTTAAACAACAGTTTTTAAGGTTTACGCTAACAAACAAAGGCAGAACTAGTGAGATAAAATTGACACCTTGAACCACTTGAACAACGACATGAACCTTATAAAAGGCAAAACTAGTTCACACTTCTAAATAAAAATGCAGTTGTATCGCATTCGTCAAGAAACCGGTTCCACAAGCTTTGGCCGCTGCGGTATTTTTATATCGACACAATATATTTATAGATCGTGCATTTGTTACAGATATTAATTATATGAGAAATAAAACTATCTTATTTATAATAAAAAACTTTATTAACAACCTGTTACACTTATTCAAACAATCCATATCACACAGCAATAGTTATTAACAAAATGTTATGATTTCAATACACTTCCATTATCTATAGTAAGATTACCACCGGTGATACTGTGAGCCCTGTCACTGGCTAAGAACAAGATCACATCAGCTACTTCGGGAGAATGAGCCACTTTACCGAGAGGAACTAGCTTACTCCACTCGTCCCAAGTATTAGGCAAGCCAGCATTCTCCAAGATATCAGTCACCACTGGACCAGGGCTCACTACGTTCACTCTCACTCCAGAACCCGCAAGCTCCAATGCTGCTGTCTTTGAGAAATGATTCAAACCTGCTTTTGATATGCAGTACGCCATCATCAATGGAGTCGCTTGTGTTCCCAGCGTACTTGACACATTGACTATATTTCCTTTACTCTTTATGAGGTACGGAACCGCTGCACTGGTGAGAGTGACCAAAGCTCGAAGGTTCGTGTTCATGATTTTGTCGTACGACTTCATTATTGCTCCGTCAAGCAACCCACCAGTGTTCACAATACCTGCATTGTTTACTAAAACGTCGAGTCGTCCATATTTTTCTATTGTTTTTTTTATTATTTCATCTGCCGCCTCTTCTTTAGAGATATCTGCGTTAATGATGAGTGGAGTTACTCCATGTTTCTGACAGTTTTCGTTGACAGCTTGTAGTTTGACTGCATTCCGGCCTACAATGGCAACAGAGGCTCGTTGCTTCGCGAACTCGACTGCAGTGGCGGCGCCAATGCCGGAACTGGCGCCAGTTATTAATACAACTTTATTTTCGAAGCTCATGTTCTATCCACTGCGTTTGAACACGTACTGGACACAACAACACTGCACAAAGTATTTATAAACTACTGGTATTTTCCATTAAAATTGCCGCGTGAATTAAATATCACTCCAAGTCAAGATAAGGACAAACAATAATATTTAATGTTCGTGTTATCATACAACCTTGGACCAAACATGCAGAATATTGCATAAAATATAATATTTGTGTGTAATTGCTACTATAATTTGTTGCCTAGAAAATTGAATAAATATTGACTTACTATTTCATTAGTAATTTAAATAATGAGGAACGTTTATTTATTCAATGAGTAACAACATGGTCAGTCGTTGACCTGCATAATTTGCGGTTGTGAGTGAAATACGGGGAACAGCACGTTTGTTTACGTTTTTTCTACAAAGTATCTGATTACGTTTTCGTTGCTCGATGATTGGTTTAAAATAAAATAGAATAATGATCATTGTGTTTTTTTAAGTGGGGAAATCATCGAATCGAGTGACTGCTCCCGCCTGGGTGAGGCGGGAGAGAGTGTCAGACTCTTACTGACTAAAAACCACCCCGTTCCTTCTCCTGCACGTCGAGCCGGAGCCCCGGTAACCCGTTAGGTTCTCCGCGACAATAATTGTGGTATTAGAGCCTATTTTTTACGAGTTGATAAGACATGACATCTGATATTGTTGCATGTTGCATGTACATATGTACATACGTTTTATACTTCACCTTAGCTTTTCAAACCAAATTTTAGTAAGAAACGATTTTGATTTAGCCAAATTCAAACAAGCAGTTTGAACCAGTTACAGAATCAAAACAATGTCCAAATGAATCTTTCAACCAAATATAGAATTTTATTTCAGTAGAAAACAAATACGGTTAAATTGTAGAATACGGTAATAAACTTGTTACGAATTGTAATAAAATAACATTAAATTAGTTCTCAAGAAGATTAAACACAATTAAATCAGTTTAATTTAACCTTAATTCAAAAATAAGTGCGTCATCATCATAAACATTACGTTTCTTTTTTACATTTAGTTAAATATTGTATTTAGGTATTTCACCTGTTGAAATCTATTCGCCTCGTTTTACTGTTACCAGGATTACATAAAAATAGAGTCGCTTCTTAAAGGTTGAACAGAAAACCTAAAATCGATTTAACGTGCAACTTTCAAATGACATTAATCAATAATTGCATGATGTGGGCATGCTTAGGTATGTTTTATCTATCATACAAAATATAAATTAACAAATAAACACCAAAATCTTAGATCTGTGCCAAACACCAACTATTGATAAATATATCTTTTCAATCTTCTGCACTCCTGGTACCTAATAGCTGATGTAGTATCTATTTAACTAGGTATCTATGTTCTTGAGCAGAAGAAGATTTCAAGTATAAGAAAAGTGGTTTTCTCTTCACTTCGATATTGTTAGAGAGCTCATTATTGAGCTACTATAATAAAGTAGAAAGAATAAAGTGGAGAGGTTTTTTATTTAGATTGTGAGTTCGCTTCGTTCGTTGTTGAACTTCCCAGTGCTTACTGATACGTTTTTCTATCGCTCTCTGGATTACATAAGAAAATTAAATGAAAATTGAGATTGTTTTCTAGTACGAACGGAAGAAGCGAGAGCTTTGGAAAGTATTATTTGTGTTTATACTGTGCATTGTTTGTTAAATTTAATTATGAATCAATTGTGAGTGTTGCATTCTGACTTAAAGCCAGTCTGTTTTCGATAAAAATTTAATTACGACTCTGATCTACGAAAAAACAAACTTAAAACTTCGTGTTTAGGTGATACATAATCAAAGCTTAATAAAACACCCATATTCCTATTCTGTTAGGTATGAAAACGATACCCAAAACCATATTCTAATCTGCAAACACTAGGCACAATAACTTTAATCGATCAAATATCAATTGAAATGTAAACTCAGACATATTTACCTGCTGGCAACACAGTCCATGAATTAATACCTAATGGAATTGCTATTGTGATCAGACACCGAACATTTGACATGCTAACTAAATAAAGGTGGACTCGGAACTTCAATGATGTCCAATTTAATTTCCGTTTAATTATTAATTAATTTCATTTGGTGTTAGTCATGAAGTTGTCCGTACAATTTCATGGTTCGTTAAATTCAATTCTATTGTTGTATTATATGTTTTGGGACATATTAACTGCATAATTAATGTACGAAATAATTATATCTATTTTTTTGCTCTTTATGGTCAGTTGTTAGCCTCCACAGCAGATACAACGGCAGTGGAGGTATAGGAAACAGGTCCAAGATGAGGAATAAGTTTCGTTTGACCTTTGACATCATGAAAAACTTGTTCTTTCTGCGTTATTTTTATGCAAATATCGTTATCAAATCAAATCAAACTAGTCTTCGTGTACCATTGTCATAGAAGTGCCAAATTTGAATTTTGAATAAACAAAATTGGAAGCCACGCATCGCAGTCGGCTCGGGTGACTCGCTAGACAGGCTCGATCTGTCAGTGGCAGGCGTCGCGGAGAGCCTGGGAAATTGCGCGCCTCCGACAAATTGCTCGAAAAAGACCATCGAGCAGAAATAGGAAAATGGCCGCCGTGCCCGACCATAGTGTATGCAAATATATCTTAGAAACTACTATGGTATCTATTCTATTTGTTGGGCACGTTGAAATATTGTAAATTCTGTGCTGACTCCAGTTTAGTTAGGGAAATATCGTTGGCAGAACAGCACATGTATTCTCGACATAAGATTCGTTACAATTACAAACATAGGTCCATTTGAAACTACACTTTGGAACGAGCGCCGAGCTGCACTGACAGACAGACGGACGGACAATTCAATTTTTGATGTTTCAAAAGTGCCTAATTAAGTATTAATTGATATACTTTGACTTTGACTTTGACTATTACTATAACTAAAACAATCAATCTCGTGTTAATAAACGTATCAATGCAATGAATGAATCTAAAATTACAATTTACATTATCATTATCGTCATCAGCTAGTTTTTTCAGTTCTTCATAGCCCACAAAAACAAACAACTACAAATGGTATTTCTACTGTATTCAAAAACCGTCAAAAACATTGAACGCTGGTATACCTACACAAAAATAGCAATTAATTATTCGTCCGGATCAATCATCTGATGCAAGCTACTAATTGGTACCCACGGCGCACATCAAGCTACTTAAAATCCAGTACAAGCTGACCGTTGAATGTTCGGAAAGATCAAACAAAGAGAGACCATAATAACTGGTTTTGTATAGTTTGATGTAAACACGGGTACATATTTCACCAAGACGCATTTCACCCGTGCATTGCACAATACAGGTAGACATTGCGAATCAACGTTGAAATCGGAACTGATTGATATTTACATTTATGATGATTCATAGGTAGTCGTGTAGGCTAACGTAGGTACCTAGTTACGCCATATAGGTATTGTATGGATATTCTGACAACCCTTTCGGACAATTCAAAAAGCTGATCTGTATTATAAATACGAATGATATCAGAAGATGGTCCTCCAGTAAATAAAAGGAAGTCTGTATTTCCTGAAGAGTATTACCTGGGTGTCTTCAAGGCCCGTGCTCCTTCGTAGGCCACAGCGTCACTTACCACCAGGCGAATAATGTTCAAACGTCAGTCCCATTATTATAAAAAAAGGAAAACATATAAAGAAAATGTGAGCAATTCCAAGAACAAAAATAACCTGTAGCTAGGATTATAAAATTAAATATTTTTATAAACCGAGGCTGTATTTCCGATAAGACTGAAAATTTTCTTGTATATAATCTTTTACTGCAAAACAAATTTCCAAAAATACATTGCCATGGACGGGATATTGAGCCTAATTAATACTTTAACCTTAATAATGGAATTCATAGTCATTTCATTAAAGTAAAATGTATCCATTTCATATTCAGAATTGTAAGCAGCAATGAAACGCAACGAGCGACGCATCTCTATTGATATGAGCATAAAACAACGAAACGGCCAAAATAAATGAAAAATGGAAAGCCGGCGCCTCGTTTGCATATTTTAAAAATTAATACCGAATGCTTGCACCTGATCCATTCCTTGTAAATACATTTTGTATTTATGAAATTGTGACGGATATTTATTGTATTATCGAGGAAAATATAGCTGCGAAGCTTCATAAAAACTATAATTTTAAGCCCATTCTTGCTTTAAATCATTTTTAAAGGCTAATTTGTTGTACTGTATGTATGCTGTATGTATGTACATCCTTTTCCCCACCGTTCATCACCACCATCTTGAATTTAACATGTCCACTGACTGACACTTTGATTTGTTATTTGTCCAAAAGTGTTGAAATAAATGCCTGACACTGCTGAATAAAGACTGAATAAATACTATCACTAGATCAAAATTAGCTCTTGGTTAATTAAATAAGTATCTGCTTCAATAACTACTACAGGACCTAGTATCTATCACCATATAAGTAAGCAGTTTCTAAACAAGAATATTTAAAAGTTTGTTTCATATGTGAAAGTTAAAAGACATTGAACATTTCAGAAACTCTTAGAGTTCGTAGTAACACGACAACAATACGACTAACGGCGTACCGCGCGAACTGTCGTAGTATTTTTACTCAAGACTTGTACGCTTAGTCTAACTTATAAAAGTCGCAGTCATGCAATTTGTAAGACTTGCATGGCTTCGTTGAAACTTCAAATTCAAGTGGTTTAGAATTAAATGTTAAAAGCTCGCATTTTCGGGTTTATAAAATACTAGCTTCTGCCCGCGACTTCGTACGCGTAATCCCATTTTTTCCCGTCCCCGTTCATGATTTTCGGTAAAAAGTAAAAAAAAACATTGGTCAAAAAGTATCCTATGTCCGTCTCCTGGCTCTAAGCTACCTCCCTACCAATTTTCAGCCAAATATATTCTGCCGTTCTTGAGTTATAAGTGGTGTAACTAACACGACTTTCTTTTATATATTATTATATAGATGATATAGATAATACTAGGTTTAACACA